GAGAAGCAGTCTCCCCCACAGAGCACGGAGCCCAATGTGGGGCTCAATCCCAGGACTCTATCATCATGACTGAGCCTAAGGCAGCTGCTTAACCAACTAAACCACCAAGTCACCCTATCAGGCTGACTGAGAGATTTAGGTGGATGTTGGATTTAATAAAATAGAAGAGATGAGTTACTCTTCTGTCATCACAGAAAATCTATGTAAATAAACTTTCCATCAGTACAGATATAGTACTACTTGTCTACTTCTGAATATTAATATCAAAATTACTTATGAAAGTAATTTCTTTTTACTGCATTTAATATGTTTTAACTGTTTATTTAAAAATAGGTTTTATTTATTTATTTGAGAAAGAGAGAGAAAGAGAGAGTGCACAAGCAGGCAGAGGGGCAGAGGGAGAGGGAGAAGCAAACTCTGTTGAACAGGGAGCCTGATGTGGGGCTTGATCCCAAGACCCTGAGATCATGACCTGAGCTGAAGGCAGACACAACTGACTGAGCCACTCAGGTTCCCCTAAGTGTTTCTAAATATATCATTTCAATTGCCACTTTTAGCTTCAACTATTTTCATGCTAGTGCTCAGTAAAAAATACTAAAATCATATATATGTATCATATATATATATATATACATATCTATATATATGTGTATTTCTATGCACATAAAATTATAAATAATACTATTTCCAACTCAGAGGATGTTAGTTGTTTAAGATTTTCTCGTTTACTTCTGTGAAATGCACTTACTCTTAATAATGGCTAGAGAGGGAAAAGACTTTCACAGACTAAATGGTATTTCATTCTACACCTGTGCATTTTAACAAAGTAGGCTCTGAAAACCCTTTAATTCTCCTAGCATTGAAAATTTGGCTGTCCAGGGATGCCTGGGTGGCTCAGTTGGTTAAAGTGGTCTGCCTTCAGCTCAGGTCATGATCCCAGGGTCCTGGGATCGAGTCCTGCATCCAGCTCCTTGTTCAGCAGAGAGCCTGATTCTTCCTCTGCCTGCTGCTCCCCTGCGTGTGCTCTCTCTCTGACAAATGAATAAATAAATAAATAAATAAAATCTTAAAAAAGAAGAAATGAAAAAAAAATTGGCTGTCCGATGATTAAAATTGATCCTGTCAGTCTAATTTTTTAGCATCTGACATCCCTGATTACAGGTAGACTACCTAACAAAAATTCCCTATATGTAGTACTCAGGGATTTATATTCAGTTTTTTTGGTTCACTTGTTGATAATCAATTATTCTGGGCCATTTATGGGAAGTTTATATTTATTTTAGAGTTTCTCTGAAAACATAAAGCACTGACAAATTCAGAATTTTGATTATTTTCCATGACAAAAATGTATTAGCGTGTCATCTTAAGTATTATTAGCTTTTTAGAACTAACGTACTTAAATATATGCTTAGCAGTAATCGAATGTATCTATATAAACATTACATTTCATAAATACATTGATAGTTGTGACTTATATCAGGTTAAAAACATATATACAATATAACCAGAACAAAAACAAAGGGTTTTATGGAGAGCCCTTTAATAGTCATAATCTATTAACTTAAGTAGGGATTGATTTGAAAGGTTTGAATGATGAGATAATAATAAGAAATTAAATACACATTACTTCATGAATTAATATTTAGTGAGTGCTTATAAGATTAGCTTTCAGTGTCTTTCCTAAAGGAGCAGTAGATCTTAATGTAAATTGCTTCTTTTTTTCATTATTTGAAATTATTATAATAGCCCCATGTTCCAGTGCTAATGATTGTAACATCATATATATTTTGCCCAAAGGCAATAGTCATCTGTGCTAATCAAAATATAACAAAATAAGTAAAATCCATTCGTTTGTTACTGGTGCTAAGATGATTATTTGTTTAAAGCAAAGAACTGATTTTGCATTAATTACTAACATTTTACTGTGCAAAAGTATAAATAAGGACATACAATGTAACTGTGATTACTAAAAACAGCACTTGCCTTTTCCTGGTGCCCCATAAATATTTTCCCACATATTAGTTAATGTATGTTTAACTTAGAATCATAAGTACATAAATTACTTATAAAATAGTACTAAAGTCTTAAGTCATGATGTAAAAAATATATAAATCCTTACTTCCATGAATTTAGAAGATAGCCTTAGGCTAAAATTTTTCTTATCACATTTAAGGAAAGTATAGATGCTGACAATAATTACTCGCTACAATGTCTGCTAACTACATAAAATATTTAAACATTCAGAGTTATATGTGTAAAAGTAATAATTACCCAGATATTTTAGGATAATCTAAAGTAACAATCAAGTTTATTTCTTAGTCATCTTGATTATTATAAAATAACTTGTATAATTAAGTTATTTAGAAAATAATATTAAAAATCTAGATAAAAAGAATAACAAAACAATGTAGAATATAATTAACATGAGAGAATTATTCAGTATACTGATTAAAAATACTTCAAATGAGAAATATTAAATTACTACCAATATTAGGCTATAAAATAACATTATGTAAATTACATGAAACACTGCTCTTTTAAAATATTAATGAGCATTTGATGTGCTAATATACTTTTGAGTTGATTGAGTCCCTCTGTCTTTTTACACACACACACGCACACACACACATATAATTATTTAACCAATTTATAAGTTAAATGAAGTAAATTTAGTTACACTCTCAAATTAAGAATATCTTTCACAATAGAATTTTTAACTACTTGCTATTAAGATGAGAGTTCAGGATAATTTGCATATTTGCCACAAATATTACAACATTGAATATCTCAATAATAATGACTATTTGTTAATGGCTTTCTTCCAATAATAATGCAATGTCATAGAAATATTTGAAAATGCATGTGGATAGTATATTATTAAAATTGTTGCCATAGTTAACTGATATTTTGAACCCTACCAGACCTACATTAGTTTTTCAATGTTAAATGTTCCCTCCTATGCATTTCTTGCATATCAAATTGACTTTCACATTTTAATATTGCTATCATGGCAGAAATATAGCTTAATTCTTCAGGAATGTTTTTAATAGTTAGCCCTTAGATGTACATACACTATCTAAATAATAAAATTTAAATTAAAAATATAGGAAAAAGGAGTACATTGAAAAGATTTTTTATATTGATAACTTACACTTTCTACCAATTCATTAGCATTAATAATAATAACATACATCAGGGTAGTTTAAGGCTATTTGCCTATATAGTCAACTACTTAAAATAATAAAATAATAAGTATCAAAATTAAATTATTTTCTCAATTGCAATATCAAAACAAAAAATGAAAAACAAGTAAAAATATCAAATTTAATGAATTTTCATAAGTGAACTGGTAAGAAATTAATGCACAAAATAATTGGATGTTTAGTTCTTGTAATCTAGAATTATAAATCATAAATACATAAGGGATGTTTAAAAGCAAATTATCTTTCAAATATATTGGACCATAAGAATCATATTAGTATGTTATAAATTTTTTTAAATTAATAAATGCAAAATAAAGATGTCAACATGAAATACTTTTTTTTAAAGATTTTACTTATTTATTGAAGAGAGAGAGAAAACCCAGGAGAAGGGTATGGGGCAGAGGGAGAAGGAGACTCCCTACTGAGCAGGGAGCCTGTCAAAGGGCTGGATGCAGGGACTCCAGAATCAGGACCTGAGCCAAAGGCAGGCTTAGCCACTGAGCCACCCAGGCGCCCCAACATGAAATACTTTAAATTTCCTAGTTGAAACAAATAATATATACCCAAGAAAACCAAATTTTCTTTTAATTTTGGCAGAAACATATATCTCATTTCAGATCTTAAGTACATTCTCCTAAATTAAAATGGATTTCCACTTAGTGCAATTATGATTCATATAAAATGGACTACTTTATCAAGACTAGGTAGAGGAAGTTTTATTTTTGAAGTATTTATATTTGCTTTATTTATTAAAAGAGATTACTTAAAATGGCATTGTAATTCTTCCCACAAAAGAAGGATTAAAAGAAAAATAATTCAAGCTCCCTTAAAAATGTAGATTCTCAACTACTTTATATAAATTTAGCTATGATCATTTGACAAAACTTAGTAGGATACATTTGTGATGTAGAATTCTGCAAATTTACCTGTATGCTTCATTATTTTTTGCATTTAAATAATAGCATTATGAAAAATGGCATGTGTTAATAGATGGAATAGCAAGTTGTTCTTGATGTTCTTATTGGAAAATCTTAACTTTGATTCTCAGTAATTTTTTGATCATCTAATCTCTGAGCCTGACAACATTTGAGAGCATAACAGTCACTTAATGAATAAACATATGGGAACACACAGACACAATATTTTTATAATAAAATATCATGCATATCATATTTATTATATGATAAATTACCTGGAAATTCATAACAAAATATCAAAGTCAAAATATTTCAAATTGCATTTGAACCCCCTTCTTTCTTCTATGAATCAAAGGCTTGAAATTTTGAGTCCTTTAACATAGGGATCAGCAAATTATGGCCTATAGACCAAATCTGGCCTGCTGCCTATTGCATAACCCACAGCTAAGAACAGATTTTACATTTCTAATGGTGGGAAAAATTAAAGGATGAATATATTCCATGACATGTGAAAAGTATATGAAATTCAAATCCCAGTGCCCATTAATAAAGTTTCATTTTGGGGTGCCTATGTGGCTCAGTTGTTAAGTGTCTGCCTTCGGGTCAGGTCATGGTCCCAGGCTCCTGGGATTGAGCCCTGCACCTGACTCCCTGCTCAGCACGGACACTGCTACTCCCTCTCCCCCTCTCCTTCCTTGTATTCCTTCTCTTGCTGCCTCTCTCTGTGTCATATAAATAAAAATCTTTTAAAAATATCAAGTTTTATCGTGCCACAAAAAATGGATTATTAATTCTCTAATCATAGAAGGTTCTACACTCTATATACCAGACTATCACTTCTAAACATATCCATTTATCCAATAAAGACAGGTTACTGTACCTGTGTGCAGGTATTTTTCGGTTCCCGACAATCAGGATAACATCACAGAGTTGTTGTTGTTTCAAGTAACTTTCCATTTTTCTGAAGGTTTGCTCAGCATGGTGAACAGCCTGATAGAATTCTTCAGAGCTACTGGAGTCCATATCACTTTGAGGGGTCAATGAATGGCTAGTTGCTGTCAGCCTACAAATCACACACAAAAAAGATGGTGTTTATAAAGTGCTAGGAGTTGTCCAAAACAATACAGAGTTTTAGAATTTTACGGCAAAATCAATGCATGTCTTCTTATGTTAATCATTATTAATGTAAGTCAGAAAAATCTATTTTGGGTGAAATAATTTGCTCTAGGAAGCAATAAATGAATTGTTAATTATCTTTTTTTCTAGTTTAAAAATGATTTAAAAGATAGGTTATCTATATTTAGTAGGGTATTAAGTTAAAAAACCTGAGAAAGTAACAGAAATAGTAAATTACTAACATGCCTCTTCTAAAATTGATTACTAATAAAAAGTTAATTTAATCCATTTGAAATTGAGGTAGATCATCTAATTATACTATTCTAAATTACAATTCCTGTGAGGTTATAGTAAATGTTCCTTTACAGAAGTAGGTGATTTTCATGATAAGAAATTATGAGACATGGTTTGTAAAAAAGATTGGCAACAAATTTGAAAGTAAATTATTGAGTTTCATATTCCATACCCAACTAATTTAAAAAATATATAAAACATAGTAGCTCAGTACTAACAAATATTTTAACCATATATATGAATGTATATGTGATAAATTTTAAAATTTTGAAACATTCATGATACTTAAGTTTGGCTACTAAATCCATTACTATCATAGACTGTTTCACAATGAAGGCTTTAAAATACCATACTGCATATTAAGGAGAAGACTCTAAATATATGCATGATAGGCCAGAAGAATGAATCAAGTATTCTGATGCCATGCTAATTAAATCTTTATAACTTTAAAAATTAAAATGAATTAGATATAACAATAATAGTGAAGTAGCTTATTTCAAGACAGAAAGTATGGAGAATTCCTCTTCTAATCACAGGGCAGTAACTTGTAGCTGACTACACCCTTCACTGAGAACACCAGGAAAAAATGTTACATATGATATCAAAATAACTAAATGAATTTAATAATAGCTACTAAGACAACCAGGACTTGAAAGACCAAGATCTTAGAATAAAGAAAAAAATCATGGAAGTCAGCTCAAAATTCTACACTGCTTCTTCTTTCCCTCTAAAGGTATTTACTAATTATAAGCAGCACAAGGTGAGAATCTGAGAAACTCAGCATAATGCCGCAGCCAATAGTATCATGGGGCTTGGATGAAAAGATAGATATTGGAATTATGGGCTCCAAAGGTAGCCAGAACTTGAGAGACAAATGAGGGGCCATAAAGGAGGAAAGTTTGGGAAAGGCTGTCATTGTGCACACTTTCCCCAGAGATATTTGTGATTCTTAAGCACCACTAGGCAAGCAGAAAATGGTTTATTGAAGATTGAAAAGTTAAATAGAGCTCAAAAGATAAAAATTTGAATTCAAGGACCAGGAAGGATGACGGACTCTCGTAAATACACAGGATCTCAGTTGAACTCCCTTAAGGGTTCTATCCTAAGAGTCAAGGGAAATGGAAATTGACAAGATAATATAAAGACGGAAACCTAGATCTGAATCAATGAAGTCTCTGAGTGCATTAATGTGATCTAATCTAAATGTCAGCAAACAGTCAAAATAAACCCCTTTAGAAAAAGATAACCTCATAGAAACTCTGATTTCTTGTGCATGTATGTAGTGCTTGACATTAAGGTAAAAAAAAAAAAAAGAGGGCCATAAATAAACTAGAACCAAAGAGAAAAACTAGACAATAGAAACAGGCTCTGAGGTGCTACAGATGTACCTCTGAATAGAAGGATCACAATTAGTTATGGATGTGAAAATAACCATCATTACTATATTTTAATATAGTACTTTAATAATAAAATATTTAAAAATAAAATTTAATTTTTAATTAAAAATAAAATATTTTAATATTTATATTAAATATATTTATATTTTTATATTTTATATTAAATATATTTTATAGTTTTACATTAAATATATTTTGTATAATATTAATATTTATATATTTATAGTAACTTAATAATAAAATATTTTATGTTTTAATATAGATGACAAACTGTAAAGTATCAAGAACATTAGGTGATATGAAAAAATCAAGTGGAAATATAATAATTTAAGATTTTGATAGAGGAACTGAACTTGCAGAATACATGCAGGTGAGAAAAACATAAGCTGAAAAATAATAGAAAATATTGAAACTAAAATGTTGAGATAAAAAGATAAACAGTTTCTGAAACAAATGAAACATGTAAGAAATTACAATATTCATATAATTGTACTCTTAAAAACAGGGAGAGGCACGATAGGGCAAAAGCCATCTGAAGACATAATGGCCAAGAGTTTTCAAAAATGTGTTAAAGACATCAAGACAAAAATTAAAGATTCACTATCCATCCACAGTAAAACAAGTTCTTAAAAGTTGCTAGTTAAAAAGAACCCTTCCTCCAACTCATTTAATGAAGCAAATATACCATGGAAACAAAACTTGGAAAGGATGTTACAAGGAAAGATAATTAATGGCCATTTTCTCTTCTAAACATACTTGCAAAAATCCTAAGCAAAACACTAGCAACTAAATACAAACTCTATGTAAAAAATAAATGTATATATGGGGCTTCTAGGGGTCTCAGTTGGTTAGGTGTCGGATTCTTGATTTTGGCTTAGGTCATGATTTTAGGGTCATGAGATTGAGGCCTGCATTGGGCTCCACACTAGGCGTGGAGTCTGCTTAAGATTATTTCTCCTTCCCTCTGCCTCTTCTGCTCCCCTAGTTCTCTTTAAAAAAAAAGAAAAGAAAAAAAAAGTATATAAAAAAGAAGTATATCAAATGTATAGTGTATAATGAATCACAAGTAAGTTGTACTTAATTAAGGAACACATTTCAATCATATAACCACCTAATTCATTCATATAGCAACCATATTAATGGAAACCTTTCTTTCTTGAGACTGAAAATGAAATTTGTTAGTACTATCTCTATTCAACATTTTTCTAGAGGTTCTTTACCATGTAATGTAAAAGGAAAAAAGAAATAAAGCCCATTAGAGTTAGACCAGAAAGTACAAATATAATTGCTATTATTTCCAGAAGACATGTTTGTGCACATAGAAAATCCAAAAGAACTGCAGACAAGTTTACAAATCTAAATCCATTAAAATTATGTGTGTTCTCTGTTACCTACAATATTTGTCTACACAATATGGTTCTTTCCATCAGACTTTACCCATTTCCTTTAAATATTTAAAACTGATAGAAATTTTGCTGTACCACATGTTTGCCTTTCACAAGTTTGCAAATTACAACTCCAGAATACAGTCATTTCCCAGAGTACATTTTAGGAATTCAGACTCAGGAATATGTGGCAAGAACATCCTTCTACACATTGACAAACACATTGAACAGAAAAGTCACAAAATTCCCTGTAGGGTGGACTTTTAAATCTAGAATTAACTTTTCATTATTGGGTTAGAGGAAGTTATGGAGAATAAAGTCAGGAGCGCAGGTTACCAAGTAGATCAAAACTGCCCCACTGATATCCTGATGTTTCTGGTCTGGTACAAGACTGCATGAATAGTGTCCTGACATCAAGATACTAGAAACAGTCCTGCAGAATGACTCCAGATAGGCTTAAAGGGGGTTGGGGATAAAGACTACATTCAGATCTTTATTTTAATTTCCTACAAGTCAAATAACATACTTAGGGCAGAAAGTTTTACACCTCACTAAGATTTTCATAGCCTGGGAAATGTTATCAGGAAAAGAATTTAGTGTAGTAGTTTATCATCAAGTCACTCAAGTTGGGGTGGACATGATATTAGAGGAAATAGTGAAAGACATATAGTAATATAGTTTTAGAGTTTAGTGAGAACACAGACAGCAAATCAAACAGGGCATAGAATTTGACAAGATTTATTTAGAGATAATTATTCTCAAGGCAGAACCTTCTTTTCCATAATCAAGGTATACTAACAAATCTTGACTATAATACAGAGGTGGGCCTCTTCTGAAGAACTTGAAAGTAATCTAAAAGAATAAATCAAAAGAACAGAGAGCTAGAAACTAGGCTTCAAACTATTTTTTTTTCCAGAATTCTTATTCACTCCTAGCTTTTCCCTTAAAAGTGCTAATTCTTTGAATTTTTCCCTATTAGATCTGAAAACTAGTTATTTTTTCTTGAAGGTTGGTTTTCCTGTCAGAAAAATTGGTTAAGTTGGTTTGACTTGATTTTCTCCCTATAAAATCATTGTCATAGTGCTTTCACATTTTCTCATAAATCATTTCCTGAAACCAGGCTTGAGTAGAACTCTTTGACCTTGAACTTTGCCTCAGGATTTAAAAAAGGGTTTCCACGTCAGAATACTTAGAATTCTTTTTTTCTTTAAGATTTTATTTATTTTAGAGAGAGAGCACAAGCAGGGGGAGCAGCAGAGGGAGAGGGAGAAGCAGACTCCCCACTGAGTAGGGAGCCTGATGTGGGTCTTGATCCTAGGACCCTGGTAACTTCCCACTAAGTACAGAGCCCTGGATGACAGGGGTGGGGTGGAGGGTGGAGGGCTTGATCCTAGGACCTTGAGATTATGATTGAGAACTGAAAGCAAGAGTTGGACACTTAAATGACTGAGCCACCCAGGCATGCCTTATTATTATATCTTTAATGTCACTATGTAAGAGTAGAACTAAAATGAAAAAATAAATTTGCAAGCAGTTTTCTTTTTTCTCTTGAATAAGTTAGCTTTTGTTTTGAGGGAATAATCAAAAAAATTTTCTATAATACCAGATAAAGAAATTACCAATACATAATTCTTGGGCAAGACCTAAACGTAGTGAAAGATGCTGTTATTTAAGTGAAAAATAACTATTTGTTTTAGCCATAAAATTTAGCGTACACTGCAGACTTCTCTTAATATTAAGTTTCCATTAGCAAAATATTTATTGTAACTTGTAAAAATATTTCTGGTCAAAAGTTTGCATTTTATTCCTTCCTTTTGCTTAAATTATTTTATATGAAGCATATGTCATTTCAATTTTAAATCCATAAAGCC